TGAAGCGAAGGGAGACAGTAGTGGATGGAGTGCTGGGGAGGATTTAGCATTGCTTAATGCTCTAAAAGCCTTTCCTAAGGATGTAGCAATGAGGTGGGAGAAGATTGCAGCTGCAGTGCCGGGGAAAACGAAGCCGGCTTGTATGAAAAGAGTGGCAGAATTGAAGAAGGATTTCAGCAGTTCTAAGGCTGGTTCTAGCGAGGCTTAAATGAGAGAGTGGCAATCGAATTCTGACTGCCTTGAGAAGGTAAAAATTTTGTATTACAGAGTGATACACTTTAAAAATTTTAAGGATAGAGATTGATGAATACTCTTTCAACGCTGGATTTGAGTCCATTCTAGAAACCTGTTACCCATACGTTTAATGGTAGACGAGAGTGTTGATAAGTTATTAATTTTTGGATATTCATTGGAATCTTGTTATTTGTATGAATCAATGTGTTATCAATAAAGTTATATTTTACTGTTCACAAATGATCTTAGTGTCTGTCTTGCAACTTACTTGTTTGAGTTGATAAGAGGTCTTTCTCGACTGTTCATGTGGTCTGTCCAATGATGGGTTCGATGTTCGATGCTGAAGTTGTGATATTCCTCTAGGAAATGATGCTGTGGCCATTTCGTGGGAGCTTTTCAAACTGGCATGCGACATAGTAATTCTGGGGATTTGACCTAGTGTCTTGCTATAAAATGTAAATGCATCATGCAATAAGTTCAGAGCATTATTGTGCAGATTGAAGGATGAAATGAACGAAACAATGGGGCAGGGGAGGGCTCTTATAATACTTCCCACTGAGAGGTTTAGGGTTCAAATTTTGGGCATGACAATTGGAGGTGGGAAGGGTGAAGGGATGGGTAAAAACAAAAGAAAAGAAGAAGAAGAAGAAGAAGAAGGTGAACTATGGGATGGTTTGTATGAGTGCTGATCTTACTCAATTTTAAGTGTGCTAAAACTACTTAATTGAGTCCGTTGCAGAATGCATAAATTGTTGTGAATATACTTAATCTGTGTGGAAACTGTTTATCTACTTTTTAAAAAAAATTTTTTTTCTGTGGATATAATTCCTTGAAGGTACAAGCTAAGTGATAGCATGGATGCACATAATGTGAATCAATGTAACTGGAAGCTAGAAGCACCAATAAATGAAGCAATGACACAAGATGCTGTTAGATATTAGATACTAAGATACAGTCAACATACTCCCTTAAACAGTTACATGCAATATCATAGAAAGCATTTAGATGAAGCTTTAAAATGCTGTTAGATAGTATTTTGAATGGGGCTTTTTTGAAGAATGATTTTGATATGAAACTACATTGAACTGTAACTGGACTCTTTCAGATATCAAGAGACCTTGTAAGCTTAGTCTTAGTTGTGAGTGTCAGTTATAGTGCAAGGAGCCAATAACTAATGCGTCAGATGGAGTTAGTGGATGTCTGTATTCACGAATGATTTTCATATGGAAAATACATTTTATAGAGTAAGATGATAGGCATAACTTTTAGTGACTCTTGTTGAGTTAATTGCCAGTGTTGTGTTGGCGTAAGAACCATTTGTTATTGAGTCAGATAGAGTGCCAATAAGCATCTTTCACTCAACAAATGAATTGGAGAAATTACCAGTAAATACCTTGAGATCACTGGTTTGGATTGTTAAGTTCTTATATACCAAGAAATAGTTTTCAAGATCAGCAAGTTGGTATGAATCTTTAAGTGGCAGTTAAAAAACTTTTACTGAAATAGAGCATGCTGCTGGAGAAAACTTTAGACACAAACACATAAAGGTTTGGATCATGGAGTCACTAGTTAAAAAGCCTCCTTATCTGTTCTCTTGATTAGTGTTATGATTTTGGAGGTGTGAATTTATAGAAATACCAAATGGATTTTCAACTTGATCTCTCCAGAACAGTTCATAAAATTACTGGTTTGGATTGTTAAGTTTTCCTTATATACCGAGAAAATTTTATCAAGATCAGCAAGCTGACACAAAACTTTAAGCGGCCCTGAAGAAACTATAACTGAAATAGGGCGCGCTCTTAGTGAAAACACACTATATACAAACGTGTATGGGTATTGGTCCATGGAGTTACCATCCAAAATCTGTTCTCTTATCAGGAAAGTTAATCAAGGTTTTGCATTTTGGAGGTGCGAATTTAAAGAAATCCCAAATGAAGGAGAATGAAAGTTAAAAACAATCCCAGATGCATTTGAGAGCTTCAGAATTTAGAATATCTAGGTATGGGTGATACTATTGCCAGGGGGTTACCAATGGAAATCCTTACATCTGGAAAAAATTCGTCATGCCTGGTCGTTTTAACTTGATAATTTAAATCCTGATAATGGGTGTTACTTGTTAAAGTTCCATTAGAATTAAGAGGGCTTCTTTCCTTAAGTTACAAACCATAATTGTTTCAACAGTCCATGATTATTTTCTTCTTTATTTTGGGGCAACACAGAAATTGAACTGGATTTTTTGAAGCACGGATTAGTTTTATTTTTTGAATTAAGTTGCTTCAAATCCCGTTAGTTCTCACTTACAATATTCTATCTGGTGAAAATGAAAATTTATGCATATGAAATATCATAAGCAACAATACTTGGCACCAGGTATAAGCAATGTCACGCTGATACAGAATAACAGAGATTAATTGAGAAAGTGTATTCTTTCCTTCGATAGCTGTCAAAGAGGATAGCAGAAGAGTTGAAGCAAGAATATTCAGGATACGAAGAATGAAGCCATCTTTGTTTATCTTATTATTTCCCATAGGGGTAATTGACACCAAAAGTGGTGCTTAAACCTTAAATGATACTCATTTGCAGTATTGAAGAAAGAATATAACATTTCAAGTTGATTCTATCTACCCTACGGAATAAATTATTGCAGGAAGAAGCTAAATCATGAATAATTCTTGGCTAACATTTACTGGAGGGGTAATTAATAACACACAATTAGCCTGATTTTCTGCAAGAAGAAAAATTCTTGCTTTCTATGAAGTAGATTCTCTCCCTTTAATTCCAAAATATATTTTTTTGGTTAGCCCGATTCATTGCAAACTTGTCTTGCGGCAAATGTTGTAAGACGAAATAACAAGGCTGAAAAGACACAAAAGACAAGCAACCTGCTACTGAATCTGTTTCCTTGTACTTTTGTAGTACAATATAGAAAGGAAGACTTGGTTCCAACATTCATCTCAATTTTGTTGATGCACATTCTACAGTATTAACAAAAAAAAAAAAAAAAAAAAGATTGCTCAGATTATGGTACTTGTGCCATATATACTCCTCCAGATTGTAACAACCCACCATTTGTTTTATCTTTTTCTAGTGAAAAACAACAAAAATACATGAATGAAGAAAGGCAGAAATGAACTTCATAGAGGAACAATACTCATCTATTGGAGTGTACCAAAACAGATAAAGTGTTAGATCGAATTCCTCTGAGCATGGACAAACTTACAAAACTCTTTAGCAGGGACCAAACAAATAAATTAGCTTCGCCCCACTATCAATCTTCTTGAGTCTGACTGGACTATGAAAAAGTTTCAAAAGGCGTTCACAGCCCATAATTAGTTTCTCCTTTATTGTGGGGCGACACAGAAAATTGAACTGGAATAGTTTTATTTCTGAATTAACTTGCCAAGTTTCTGGTCAAAGTGAAGATTAAGCATATCAAATATCATAAGCAATATTATTCTTAACCATCCAAAAAATAAAGGCAAGATTACTCTGGCACTAGTTACCAGCAATGTCATTGATGAGAATAATAGAGACCCACTGAGAATGTGTTTCTTTTAGGGTCCGTTTGTTTCGGGTGAAAATGTTTTCCAGGAAAATATTTTCCTAATTTCCCGTGTTTGGTTGCACAAAAGTTACTGAAAACATTTTCCTATGTAAAATATTTTCATTCATCTTATGGAAAACAACTTCCCTTCCAAACTTACTGAAGTTGTTTTCCGAAATGCATGCATCCCGCCTGTAGTATGTTCCAAACTTATTAAAACATCTTGTAGTATGTTTTTTTTTTTAGTGTAAACAGGAGGACTCGAACCTAAAACCTCTTCCTTACACTCCCTCCCCCGTACCACCCAACCCTCCCCCTAGTATATTCAAAATAAAAAAAAACCTCATCCTGCTCATCCTATGCTAGTAATTAATTATGTATAATAGGAACATTCTTTTCTAGAGAAACTTTCAGCAGTGAGAGTGCAAGATATATGTCACAATAAGCATTGCATGTGATTGATATTTGACACTAAATGACCAGCAATTTGTTTATTGCTTAAGGAGATATTTTTTATTCATATATACATTTCTCCAAGATTTTTTAAAGTTAAACAATGAGATAAATTTTCTTATTTTGCATGGGAAGAAGTATGTAGTTATAATGTGTAGAAAGTAAAGATAGAGATAAAAGTGAAAATATTTCAAAAGTTAAACAAACACCAGAAAAATGAAGTAAGAAAATATTTTCAATAAGCTAACCAAACACCTGAAAATGATGAAAGGGAAATGATTTTCATGGAAAATTACTTCCACGGAAAATATTTTCCCAAGGAAAACATTTTACTTCCAACCAAACAGACCATTAGTTGAAAGCCTTTGAAGATGATATAGCTAAGACTTGACGTAAGAATAAAAAGGACAAGAAGAATAAAGCCATGTTTGTTTATCTCTTTCTTACTCTTAAGGGCTGATTTATTCCTAAAGTGGTGCTTCAGCTCTAACTATGATACTAATTTTCGAAAGTGAAGAAAGAATAAATCATTTCAACTTTCTTTCTACAAATTCCCAACCAAAGGGGAGCAAGGAATGTAGAAAAAAAGCATTACTTCCAATTCAATCAACCTGAACGCTGGCCAAGGTCTTCCTTCCTATATAGTAAATCCTTCTCTGGCTCCAAAAGTTTACGAAGTTAAAACCATTCTTCTACTCAGAACCATATAAAAAGAAGCTAAAACCCTGCCTCCTCCTTCTTCTTCTTGAAAAAAAAAAAAAACTATAAAATGACAGAAGCTGTTGTCTCTTTTGTTACAAATCGTCTCGAAACCTTGCTCCTAGAGGAGGGAAGCCTATTGGGAGGGCTTAAACAAGAGGTCGAATTATTCATAGATGAGTTGTGGAATCAGAAAGCTTTCGTCAAAGCGGCTGAAGCAAAAGAAGATGATGATCCCAGGTATAGGTGGCAAACCAATCCACTTAACTAAATTTACTCATACCCGTCCATGAATAGATGGGTATGGGTATCTTAAATTTTTTTTATATGGATATAAATGGGTTACCCAAAACATAGGTATTATTGGGGAACCCATCAAATCTAATTTAACTCATTTAGAATTCTCTTCCCCCACCCATTTTTTTTTTCAGATTTTTCATTTTGTCATGATGTTAACTACTTTTGTTTCATGATTATTATTATTTGTTGGTTTATCTTATTATTTATTTTCTCTTAGTTTGTTAACTTACTCATTTTTCAATATTACCAATTTATGATAAGTTTTACCCTTTTTTCTTATCTTTATAAAATGAAATTTTAAATTTATATATGAAAAAAATGTTAGGGGTTCAAATTTTTTGGATTAAGTTTTTATATTAATTTTTATAGTACTTAGTTCAAATTTTTATATTCTTATTATTCAATTATTAAATAATATGTAATTTTACGACATAGAGTATCAATGGAAAAAAATTGGTAATAAGACTTATTGAGCATGATAAGTAAATATTTAAAACTAATGATGGGTACAAAGAGCGGTATAAATTGATAACTCAGTTTGCAAAAAAGAATTTAAATGAGTTTACAAAAAGTTAAAATAAATGGGTTATAAATGGGTAATTGGGTTATCCAATTCATTTTTTGACTTACTCATTTATACCCATCTAATTAAATGGGTATAAATGGATTGACTCACTTATACCCATTACCCATTTTATCTAACCCAAATCCGTCCAAGTCACCCATTTTGACACCTCTGATCCCAGGCTCCAAGAATGGACCAAGCAATTGCGCGAAATTGCTTATGACATTGAAGATCTTCTCGATGAATTTGTACTTCGCTTTGCTGGCTACCGACATCATGGATTCTGTGACTCTCCTCAGAGAATTCTCAAAAACATTAAGAGCTTGCGAGCTCGTCATCAGGTTGCCACTGAAATTCAAAGCATAAAGTCCAGATTCATAAATATGTCAGAATCACATCCGAGAAACCAAGTTAAATTTGGCATCGATGACCGTGTCACTGGATCTTCAACCATAAGCAACTCATGGCACTATAGCAGGGATGATGCACTTCTAATGGAGGAAGCAAAATTGGTTGGCATTGACCAGCCCAAACAACATCTGATTTCTAAGCTTCTCGAGGCGGACGATCACCAACTCAAAGTTATTTCAGTGGTCGGTATGGCTGGACTAGGGAAAACTACCCTAGTCAAAAAGGTCCATGAAGATCCAGATGTTAGAAAGAATTTCCCAGTTCGTGCCTGGGTAACCGTCTCTCAAACATGCGATTTTCCAAAGCTCCTAAGAGACTTGATTTTGCAGTTGCACGAGGAATTGCAAAAATCAGTCCCACAATTCATCGAATCTATATCTACCATTGAGTTGAAAGAATTTGTCAAAGATTTTCTACAAGCAGCTGGAAGGTTTGCAATTGTGTTCGATGATGTGTGGGACGTGAAATTTTGGAATGAAATCAAATCTGCACTGCCTGAGGGTAACTATGGCAATCGTGTCATGCTAACAACACGAAAAGCCGATGTTGCCTCTGCATCTTGCACAGAATCTCAGGATTATGTCTACAAAATGGAGCCACTATCAATTGAAGATTCGTGGACCCTATTTTGTAACAAGATCTTTAAAGGAAAGCATTGCCCCGCCCACCTGATGGATGTTGCAAAAGCTGTATTGGATAAATGTGAGGGTTTGCCTTTGGCGATTGTTGCTATCAGTGGGCTCTTGGCTTCGAAGGACGTGAGAAGAATAGATGAATGGGAGATCGTTCAACACAGTCTTGGGGGTGAATTAGAAGGAACAGGTAAGCTAGAGAGAGTTAAAAGGATACTTTCTCTGAGTTACAATGATCTGCCTTCGCATCTCAGACCCTGTCTGTTGTATTTAAGCATTTATCCGGAGGATTATCTAATAACATGCAGAAAACTGATTCAATTATGGATTGCTGAAAGATTTATAGAAAGGAGAGGAGGCATGTGTATTGAAGATGTAGCCTGGGGCTATCTCGGTGAACTCATCAGGAGAAGCCTAATTCAAGTAACTGAAGTGTTTTATGAAGGATCACCCTACACTTGTCGAATCCATGACCTATTGAGAGAAGTTATTCTCATCAAGTCAAGGAAACAAAACATGGTCACGGTTACTACTGGACAACCAATGATATGGCCATTTAAGAAGGTACGCCGTCTAGCAATCCATAGTAGAAGTAACAGTAGCAACATCCAACATCACCAACAAAGACAATTTTATTCCTTTGAACACCTTCGATCATTCATCACAGTCAGATCCACCAACCCATTACCATTCAAAACTTTCTTATCTGAAGTTCTAAGGAGCAGCAAGTTCCTAAAGGTTTTGGATTTGACTGATAAAGAGATAGAGGAAATACCAAATGAGATTTTCAACTTGTTGCATCTCACGTATCTGAGCCTATGTGGTACAAAAGTGGCAAGAGTCCCGAGCATGGTTCAAAGTCGTGGTCACGGTCGCGGTCGCGGCTTGGAACGTTCCACATCGGTCTCGGCATATCGGTCACGGTCTCGGTGAGACGCAAATTTTAAAGAATTTAATATTCTAAAAATTGTTAATAATATAAAAAAAGTATGCTAAACAAAAATAATAAAAAATAGCCAAAGAAATGGCCGAATCAATCCTTCGCGGTGTAACTCGGCCGATTTCTCGTCTTGACTCGGGATAACTCGGAGTGACTCGGTGTGACTCGGCCGAGTCAATCCGTCGCGGTGACGTCTCGGCCGATTTCTCGGCGAGATGAGTATCTCGGTCTCGATTCGTCGCGGTCTCGTCTCGGACTAGGCCGAGACGGTGACGACTCGGCCGAGTCGTCTCGGTCTCGGCCGAGTCTTCGAACCATGGTCCCGAGAGCTATTGGAAAGCTTCAACATTTGGAATACCTGAATTTGGGGGACACTGGAGTTAGGGAATTACCCGTGGAAATCCTAAAGCTGCTAAAGCTTCGGCATCTTGTAGTAGTCGCAGCAGTTGATCCTTTAGATGATGATTGTGGATATTATGGGTTTAAAGGTCCGTCAAAATTGGGAGGGCTTCTCGCTCTACAAACATTAAACACAATAGATGCAAGCAGCGGGTCTGTAATAGTTAAAGAGATAGGAAAATTGACCCAATTAAGAGAGTTATCTATTACACAGCTGATAAGAGAAGATGGAAAGGAGCTCTGCTCCTCCCTTGTCAACCTCACCAGTCTTCAAGAATTAAGAGTTGATTCAGTTGGAAAAGGTGATGATTATGGGATAATTGATCTCAATCATCATCAACATTCTCTTTCTTCTTCTTCTTCTTCTTTGCTTCTTCAATCTCTTCGTGTGCTACTTATGTGTGGCCGCTTAGAAACGATGCCAGTATGGATAACTCATCTTCAAAACTTGGTAAGAATAGATATGACCTGGAGTGGGTTAAGGGCTGAGGAGGATCCGCTTGAATCTCTCCAACATTTGCCCAATTTGGATGCAATTAGTTTCTGCGGATCTTACCTGGGAGAAAGGTTGTGTTTCAAGGCTGGCGGGTTCCTAAAGCTGAAACGGTTGTGGTTAAGGAGAATGGAAGGGTTGAAATGGATGAAAGTGGAGGAGGGTGCATGCCCAAATCTCCAAAGACTAATTCTAGATCGACTTCCATTACTAGAGGACTTACCTTTGGGTATTCAGCACTTGAGCCATCTTCAAAAGCTGTATTTGTTTGAGATGAGTTCTCGAATAAAGGAAAAGGTCGAGAATCAGGAGGAAGAAAGTGAAGATTACAGAAGAATGACACACATTCCTGAAATTATCATTGGTTTCTATGCCCATGATGGGGAATGGAGAATCCGCCGGCTATGGGGGTAGAAGAAGAAGAAAACTATCCTTGCCTAGCACTAGCAGCATCCCGTGGCTTTCCTTTCTCTTTGTTTGCTTTCCCTCCCTGTTGTTAACGATCCTGCACTCTCTTCTTCTTCTGCTTTTCTGAGAAGTGAATTTTCTGATGTTTTCTATCTTCTCCACTGCGTGTAGTATGGTGCATTGCATCATCATCTCGTTCATATGCTGCATTTTGTTAATGTATTTTTTTAACTGTTTTTCTTTAATTTTAACTTCAGCAAATGAAGCATTCTTACCTACCTCCCCAAATAAGCACTTGTGAGATCATGAGCTCAATGATAACTATTTAATGTCTTTCAACAATAACTGCCAGATACTTGATTTCTAGTTGTACGAGGTAGATTAGTAGTATTTTTTTTTGTATTGTTGTGTTTTGGAAGGGGGGGGGGCAGTCAACTTAGGAACACTGGAAGGCCAAACTTAAGCTCTTTCCAGTACAGTATGGCAGCAATTTCATTGTATATATACAGCATAATAGAGACAGAAATTTAGGCTTAATGAAAACATGTAAAATGAAGTTGACGGGTTCCATTTGTGAAGTGTTTCATAAGCAGCCTTTTGGTTGAACAAAGCCTGAAGCAGTTCCAGCAACATTGGAGCATGATACCTGAGCTGGTTGATTCATATATCTGAGGTTGACATCTTGCAATCTTATGCCACTGCAGGGGGAGTCCTTGCTGCAACCAATTGCTATAGCTACTTGTATACCTGGCAATTGGGCGGGTTGGCCGGTTGATATTGGGTTTTTACTTAAATGGGTAATACTCAACTCGCCCAAGTTTAGATTGAGTCAATTTTAAATTGGGTCATATTAGGTCATCTCAAACCCATGACCCAAATATGATCCAATATATTAATTAATAGATTTTGACACATAAATTCTCTTAAATACATTTTTACATACAAAAAAAAATTTTCACACACTAAAACATCTTCACAAATACAAACACACACTCACTTCTTAAACTCTTTAGAATTACATTATTTTTACACACTAATATACTTTCACAAATACACACACAAACTTTTGTTTAAACTATTTGGATGAACTCATTATTTTTTATACAAGTAAGGATTTTCAAACGGGACAGTGGATATAGCTTTGATCCAAACTAAGAGATCGAAGCACCAATTTTGGTCCAAGTCAGATATAGCATGAAAAAATGGTATGTCAATATACGATTTTCCAAGTCTTGTTACTTGATTTAGCATTAGCTGTACCAAACATATTTCTAGTCTCAGAAAAAATCCAATCATGCCTTAATTAAATTGAAATTTTGATGAGAGAGATACAATTCTCAACCAATTAGTTCAAATATCACTATCTATAGTAGAGCCAAAGACCATACCAGGTCTGCTTTATCCTAAAATATATTCAAGTACCTTTTTTTCTTGCACTAAAGTCATGGAATAAGAATACGATGTTGGAGACCTTCGGGGATAATGCCATTCTGCTTCATGTGTATGCATACAGACCATCCTCCAATGCACAAAATGCTAGATTGCAGCTAACAAGGCTATACAATACAGCTTACGCTGGCACAAAAAGGATTATCACCAGCAGCTTCTCTTATCCAAGATGTATCTTGATTGTTTCTTTAGCCGAGATTGTATCAACCCAAGAAATTTAATTTCTTTATTTGTTTTTAAAATTTAAGTTGGGTAATGGGTGCTCAACACAAATACCCAAACTACCCAAAATATATCTGAATTTTTATTATCCAACCCAAAATTGACCCAACACTCAAATTACCCAACCCAACCTCTCAAATTAGTGGGTGGGTTGTTGGGTTTTGGGCATAATTGCCAGGTGTAGCTACTTGCGATGATGATATTCCATGAATTTGCTGATAAGTCACACCACTAATCTTTACACCAGAACCCTGAAAATGGAATTCCAAATATTGAGAAAGGCAAGCCAAGAAAACAAGTTTGGAGGATGCAGGTAGGATTTGAGACAGTGAAATACATTCATCTAAACTCGTTTTGTCTTGTAACACCTACCTGATTGGGACAACTATTTTTGCTTGGACAATAACTTTGGTCGATGATAATAGGGTATCTCACATTCAGCATTACTGCATTTTGGAAAAGGATCCTCTTAGCAAATCCATTGCCTTGCCCAAGTCTTTATCCTCAAATCCATTTTGTGTATTTCTGAAAGTAACAGTTTTAACAGTTACATTTTGTACTCCAGGTTCTTGCATATCCCATCCTAGACTCCCAATGCTGCACCTGATTAATTTCAGAATGCACATCCGCTGGTTTTCATTTTAAAAACCATAATTCTTTGATGCTAAGCATAAATTAATTATTTTACCTTATTCCATGGCCAGGGCCACAAGAAACATTCTCAATCCACAAATTGGAGGTGCCGGGGCCAATTGAAATGCAATCGTCCCCTGTAGCTATGTTAGAGCCCAATATGGTAACACCTGAGGACCCTGATATATGAATGCCATCAGTGTTTGGACTAGTGGCTGAGGCTGAGATCTTCATTCCTTCTAGCTTAACATTTTGACAGCCGTAAAGCATAACATGGAACATTTGGCTGTTCAGTGACGTTAATTTGCTGATGACAATGTTATTTGAATTGTAGAATGCCAATGTCTGCAGCACATATTACCACATTAATACAAGACCCAGAAAAAAGGAATAGACAAGAAAAAATATGTCAAGAAATGAATGGTTGGAATCATGCATAATTATTCAGCCCATGTGATATATAATGTTTGTGTTTGGGAAGTAATCATAGTACTAATTTTTTATGAGTACAGCATTAGGTTTGTTTATTGTGCATACCGTTGCACCACCGGGACAGTTACTCTTGGAGGCTTTGCAGTTCCAAAGACTACTGCCTTGTCCATCTAAAGTTCCGCGAGAAATTGTCACTCCATTGAAGCTTTCAAACTTGAGCCAGTTGCCAGCATAGCCAATAGTACGATAATTCGAGGGAGCTACAAGAGTACCATCTATACGTATTTTAATCGCATTATTGTTGCATTTATTTCCCTAGAATGATGCAGCCCCAAGCAAGTATCTGTTGGAAAAATGAAAAAATCCATTGTAGAGTGAATGAGAAAATCGTTCTCATAATGGCACTCTTGATAGAATCCAAGGATAATTATCTATCATTCATGTACCTGAGGATTCATGTACCTAGGATTCATGTACTTAGGAATTAAGTATTTATGTGCATAATTGTTAATACATGAATTTGAAGTTTTCTTATCGAGAATACATGTACGTACATGAATATGGTACTTTGATAAATGTGAAGATAATTAAATATTTGTTTCCAATTTCTACAATCACCCTTGGCCAGCATCTATAAATAACTCTCTTTTTATTTTGTTTTGAAATAGAGCTCTCTCTCCAATTTTTCTTTTCCTTTTGCATCTTCATCTTTTATAGTGTTCAATATTGCTCTAGTCCGAGT